CCACACATGATAAACCCTTGGGCGATCATGTATCTTTCGATATATATAACTGACATGGCAGAAGATTTTTCCCGCAGTAGGTTGCCATTTCTTTCTGTGGTAGACTGGTTGCCAACCAAGGCTAAAGAACTCAGTCTCTCCTGCTATTCAACCCATATACGGGGGAAAGAGATGGATTCATGCATTTCCCAAGTGCATAAGGGAATATAACGAACCTGATTGCAATTCGAACTCGGCTCTCCGAGTTTGAATTCCAAGCAGATATCCATTACACCACAATAAAATACATCCGGTAACAAGGCCTCTGATTGGGAGACTGGAGCTTTTGAGAAGCGTGGAACCACCTCTTAATTGCTGGTGCTCTCTCAGGTCCACCATGACTTGGGGTGGCAGCACCAGTTAGGGTCCTAGCTATGGGCAAATAATGAAACCCTAAACAAAAACAAAACATTATGAAAGTATAAACATACATTTTTATAGTAAAAATACCAGCGATTTATTTTTATATAAAAAATTACCAACAATACATTTTATCTGGAGTAGTTGAAGGCATACAGTTGCGTTCAAAATGTTTAGATTTCGGCATTAAATAACCCCTAGAGGTGTTGATATACCGCTAAAAAACAATCAACCAACATGAAAAACTATTTCATGACATTAATTCATATATCATACAATTTTTTTAAAGAAATCAAACTGTATTCTAAAATATTGCCACAACAAAACTACAATGTAAAACACACCTATCACTGCCTCTAGTAATCACGTCCATATAAACATGTATATGCACAAAAGCTGAGTATCATCTACCATGTATTCAACTGCGGAAGCAGAATAACATGTATCATATTTTTATTACTTCAAAGCTCCCAAGAAAATTATATTTCGGCATTAAATTACCCATTAGGAGTTGATATGTCGTTAAATAAATCTATTCCAAAATTTAACTTCAACAAAGCTACAATATAAAACACATCTAACACCGCTTTTAGTAATGTACAGACAAACATTTATATACACAAAATCTGAGTATCATCTACCATGTATTCAATTGTGAAAGCAGAATAACATACATCATAGTTTTATTACTTCCAAGCTCCAAAGAAATTATATTTCAGCATTAACTGATTCATTAGTTGATATGCCGTCTAACAAATCAATCAACCAACCAATTAAATTGATGCCTTTTTATATATTGTAGTCCCTTTGCTTAAAGTTTGTACTTTTCAACATATTTCCGTTATTTTTTTTTTTAAGCGTTTCACCCCAAGCAAGGCGGAAAGCCACTAGGACGCAAGGGGTTACAGAAAATTTGGAACAAGATCAGATAGGAGTGATAGAAGAAAGGATGAGGAGAAGAGTAGTGGATAGATCAAGGCAACTGGACATACAGAGGCCAGTGAGAGAGAGAGAGAGAGAGAGAGAGAGAGAGAGAGAGAGAGAGAGAGAGAGTACTGGAAACCCCTTCCTAAACAAGAAACAAGGCGTAAGCCTCTACTCATGTCCAAAAGAAGGGAGAGGAGTGTTGACCGGGCGGTAGGAAAGCCTACCTACTATTCCGAAATGATTCTTTATATTTTCGTCCGCAGTTCTTAGTTTCTGAATACTTCAGTCTATTTCTGTACTTATCCTTTCTTGGTTCCTGTGTCCATGCCTTTGGTGGCTGGCGAGACCGACCCTTTCATGGAACTTTCATTCACACAAGTTACATCTGAACTTTGGAACTAGACGTAGTCAGAGTTGCCGAACATTCTGTCCTCGACGCTGTTTGTTGTCTATGTTTCAGCGTCATTGTTGTCAAACAAAATAATTTGAGAGGTCAATGTAATCTTGATAAACTTCCCGCTATGATACCTAGGCTTTATGAATTTAAACGCAGTACAAGGTTGGCGGCAAGGTCTCATTATTTTAGAGTAGAAATGACTAGATGTAACCGTAAGTTCTATGCTAACTGTTTCTTTATATTTTCATCGTAATTGTTCTAATGAGCTTTCCTCTTTGGATCCTATTTATGAATTTAAACGCAGTACTAGATTGGCGGCAAGGTCTCATCATTTTGCAGCTGAAACGGCTAGATGTAACCGTAAGTTTTATGCTGAAAGTTTCTTTTATTGCCCTTCTTGCATGTGGAACTTTCTTCCGGCTTCTTGCTTCCTAAGTTTGATCTTCATCATACGATGTCAAACGTTATCTTCTGTCTTCTTAATTCTTGTTCTTTTATTGAGCTCTCTAATTAATAGACATTTTTCTGATATTTTTAACACTCAGTAAACTTGGTGGCGTCATTGCCTTACTTTGGTGGGGTGTGTGAAATGATTTTAAAAATGTCTGCTTCCAGAATGAACGTTTTGTTTTTAGTTCTTGTCAGTTTTGCAGGAGTTATTGTCCATCTGAAAAGTCTGTTTCAATAGATTTGTATATAGTAAACGTTTATCCACTGTATCCCAATATGAGTAGATAGGCGACTATCGCCCGGCTCACGCTCCTCTCCACTCTTTTGAATAGAAGTAAAGGTTTATCCCTTGTTTCTTGTTCAGGATTGGGTTTCCGGTTCCTTCTAAAGTCTACTTCAATTCTATACTTCTAACATATCCGTTTGAAATTTGAAATTTTATTTACTAATTATTTTCTCCTCAATATGAGTGGATAAGCGACTATCGCCCGGCTCACACTCCTCCCCACTCTTTTGAATAGGAGTAGAGGTTTATCCCTTGTTTCTTGTTCAGGATTGGGTTTCCGAATCCTTTTAATGTCTACTTCAACTCTATACTTCTAACATCTCCGTTTGAACTCTGACATTTTATTTATTAACTATTTTCTCCTCAATATGAGTAGATAGGCGACTATCGGCTGGCTCACTCTCCTCTTCACTCTTTTGAATAGGAGTAGAGGTTTATCCCTTGTTTCTTGTTCAGGATTAGGTTTTCGATTCCTTCTAAAATATACTAAAATCTACTTCAACTCTACTTCTAACGTCTCCAAGTAGGAGTAGAGGTCTATCTTCTGTTTAGGATTGGGTTTGTGGTCCCTTCTAAAGTTTACTGTAGCTCTATACTCTTAATTCTTGTCCTTTCCTATGCTAATATAACTTCACACATTATCCTTCTACCTTGAGTGGCTCTTGGGTACCTGTATTGGGTGAATATTAGTAAAAAAAATCCTTCAAAGGTGAAATTCTACAAAAATTGTGTGTACATATGTTTTAGGAAACCTTCATGCACAAACACATGCATATGCACGCTTGGAGCACACGTGAGTACCTGTGTGCAGTAGTGTTTATATTTCTGACCTGTGACATGTTTTTATCTGTCAAGCAAGGTGTACACATTATTTGCGCAAAGTAGTCTTTTTACTGACCGACATTTTGTATCTTTGTAACTCCGCCCGTCTCTATGCGAAATATCCTTTTGTTACTTACCTACTTTTTCTCTCTCACAGACTCTCTCGTTCTGTATTATTCCTACTCCCCCCATTCTTGCTCTCTTGTCCCCCTTATGGCGTGAAGCGTTTGATTGTCTTATGATCTGGTCGTCTGTTATTTTCTTAATCTTCTTCTGCGCTTTTAGAATTATGGAAGATCGTCTGCAGTGGAAGAAATGAAAGAATGTTAAAAATTGGCTGCCTGATATTATTAAGCTAATTGTGCATTTACTACAGCTTTTATTGTTTTTTTAATCTTTTTCTTTTTTCACGTAATGTAATTTTCTTTGTTTTTAATATTAAGTTTGCAGTTGATTTTCATTCTCATTCCGTTTTCTTTTTACATTTACCATCATTTTCTTTCTTTCTTTGTTTCTTTCAGCCTTTCTTTCTTTTTCTTTCTTTCTTTCTTTCTTTCAGCCTTTCTTTCTTTCTTTCAGCCTTTCTTTCTTTCAGCCTTTCTTTCAGTCTTTCTTTCAGCCTTTCTTTCTTTTAGGCTTTCTTTTTCAGCCTTTCTTTCAGCCTTTTTTCAGTCTTTCTTTCTTTCTTTTTTCTTTCTTTCTTTCTTTCTTTTTTCTTTCTTTCTTTCTTTCAGACTTTCTTTCTTTCTTTCAGTCTTTCTTTCAGGCTTTCTTTTTCAGCCTTTCATTCAGTCTTTCTTTCAGCCTTTCTTTCTTTGTAAATCTTTGTTTCAAATTTTCCTGTTTTTATATTCTGTTTTTTATTCTTTTTTTCTCTTTGTTCATAATTCTTTTCTTTGTTTCTTTTTCTTCTCATCAGTGATTACTCTTTTCTTCCTCTCTTTTTCATTTTTTTTATGACTCTTTTCTTTCTTTTTTCTAACTTTCTTCATAACTCCTTTCTCTCTCTTCTTCTTCATTAATACCTTTTTTCTTCCTCTCTTTTTCCTTCTTTTCATTCACGACTCTTAGTTCTTTCTTCCTTTTTCACCGTTTTCACTTCTTATTTATTCCTCTTTCTTATTCATTCATTTTTCTTCTTCCTTTCATTTCCTTAAATTTCTCTTCGCGTTTCTTTTTTTTTGGACTTTTCCCCATTGATATATCCTGGGAAGGGATATATTTGTTCGAAGTAGCAAAGTGGTTGTTGACTATTGTAACCGGGTAGGACAATCTAGCAGGTAACCGTCATCGACTGGTCCTCGTCGTAGTGGTAGACAATAGGCGTAGGCAATAGGCGTAGGCATTAGGCGTCGTCCCTGTACCTCCACATCAGTCTGTATTTATGGCTGACACCAGCCAATCATAATATTGTGAGGGGGAACCCAGGTGTATGCATATTCATTACATCACTCATGAACTACCATTTTGTCTTTTCCTTCCGTTTCCCCTTTTAATATCCATCTTTTCTGGGTCTTTCACACCTTCTTTCTTCTTTATTTCCTTCTCTGTGTGTGTGTGTGTGTGTGTTTTGCTATCTCTCCTAATCCCTGTTCTGCCTTTCATTTTCACAAACTCATTAGATACATCCCACACTGTTATCTTCCGTCATGATTATCTTCAATTGGTCCTGTGAGTGTCAAACTTTCTAAGACCTCTTTGACTAACAGACACATTATATTGAAACACCAGTTCCCATATGATCACCAAAGTTAAGCAACATTGTGCTTAGTCACTTCCTAGATGGGTTACTGCTTGGAAATACCAGGTGCTGTAAGCTTGGATGTGCAGGTGGTGTAATGGATAACGGCTTGGAATGAGCTGAGTTCGAATTGGGTTCGTTATTTTCATTTGTGTGCAAATACTCCTGGGAAAGGTATGAATCCACCTTTTCTCCTCCCACCTATGGGTTAAATAGTATGACTTCTATCAGAAAAATCCTTATCATCTCCAAGAGATTCTTACAATCCAAAAGTATGTTTCAGCTTTAAATAACCATAAAAGATTGGTAAACCATAACAAACAAATCAAACAAACCAAAAAAAAAAATTGACTTTAACCTGCTCATGTAATGGCCGGGTACATGCAGCATTTATCAGACCTCATTGATGGCTTATGTCCACATCACGTTGAAACACTTGTTCTCATATGGTAACCGAAATTAATTAATGTCAAATGTGTTCTGTCATCATCATCTTGCAGCCTCAGCCGAGATTGAACTCACCAATACTTTGATTGGTGTAGTTCATAATCTTGTCAAATAGCTGAATTCTTGATGCTTCGCTAGGGCTATCAAGGGTGTTTTTATCGTGACACCAACACTAAATGGATTGCCAACCAAGGCTCAGAGAGACTCCATTCACCCTCCTCTAAGAGCAGGTTTTGAATTCAGAGTTTTCCTTCTCCTAGACCAGTTGCCATCCAAAGCTATAGAACCCAGTCTGTCCTGCTATTTACCCATAGCTGGAGGGAGAAGAAAGAGGATTCACACCTTTCCCAAGGGTATTAGCACGTAAGTGAATGTAATGGATTCGACTGGAATTTGAACTCGGCTCTCCGATTCCTCAATCCAAGCTGCTATCTATTACTCCACCGTGCCTCCTATATGTGTTCTGTACTTAGATGGGTAACCCCTTTGGAATACCTGGTCATGTAAGATTGGATGTGTGGGTGATGTAATGGATAATGGCTCGGAATTGGAAATTGGAGAACTGTGTTCCAATTCTGGTTGGGTTCGTTATATTCACTTACATACAAACACCCTTCAGAAATGTATGAGTTCATCTCTTCTCCCTCCAGCTATGGGTTAATTAATAGGACTTGTATCAGTAAATAATTATTATCTAAAAAAAAACAACAAACGGAAAAGATTTTCTATCTTTAAATAACCTGTAAAAGGTTGATAAGCCATAAAAATTAGTCAATAATTTAATCTCTTAATACTTAACCTAGTTTCAGCAAGGTATCTTTCTCTTAATATTAATACTTTAGCCCCATTGAGTAACAGCAAAGGAATATTATTTCTATGTTTATTTCCCACATGTTTATTTTCCATATGATTATTTCCTACATGTTTATTTTGACATGTATATTTCCCACATGTTTATTTCCCACATGTTGGTTCAATTCAAAATATTTTTCTTTGCATATGTGATTTAATATTTTCTAAATAAAATATTTAAAATTAAATTAATTTTTTTTTTTTTTTTTTTTTTTTTTTTTTTACAGCCAGAGACCAATGGACAGGCTTTTTCCTTTCCTGGCACAGACAGGATCAACCGTGTTCTCTATCGGATCTTGTCATTGGGTAGACCTCTCAATGCAGATGACCCAAGCGATCAGCCTCCTCCTCCGCCATAACTTGAACAGAAAACTGAAAAAAAAATATGAAAATCGCTAGACTTGAATATCGCTAGACTTGAATGGAAAAAAAAAAAAAAAGAAAATGATAACGAAAGGAAAATGATGGAAATTAACGAACGAGAAATTAAAGAAAATAAAAAAGATGGAATGTTAAAGAAATGGAATTTTGCAATACAATTTTAATCTTTTTATTTAATTTTTTTTTCTTTGTTTTTGATTTTGGAAACACGGTTTTAGAAAGGGAAGCATAAAGAGAAAAGATACAAGAAATAACGAAGGAAAAACGAAGGAAAAACAATGAAGGAATAAAGGAAAGAAGAATGATGAAAAAGAAAAAAATGTAAAAGATAAACCAAGAAGGAATTAAGAAAACAACATGACTATCACCTCTGTACAGATGTGCTTAAAATCAGCTGTCTTTAAATGGAAACCAATCCAAGAATGTAAACACTGTAAGTCAACTTCAAAGCATTGAGAAATGTTCAAAGAATTTCTCTTCATTTCTTGACAGGAAAAAATCTTGGAAATATTCTAATTTCAATTTGACTCTTTTGAGTAACGATAATAAAAGTGCATAGAACTGACAGTGTGATTTTCTTTTTGAATAGACACTAAAATTACAAATTTAAACTTCATTCCTCCCTCCTCTCTGGTCTGGCATCATTTCAGAAAAGACTAACCGAACCAATAAATGCAGTCTGAGATACGTCACATTGTATTCGGAGTGACATCTCCCAAAATATCCAGCGAGGTATAAATGAGTAAAGTGGTTACATCTAATTCACTTTTATTATCGAATAATACAATGCTAAGAACATTACTTGAATCGTTTGGGGGTGAAAACTAATAAAATCAGAACAGATGTCAGTGAGCTTGTTGGTTTGCCACTGCAAGCTGGGGAGTGGGATATAAAAAGATAGACAAAGAATGGAAGGAAAAAATAAAAAAATCGACAGATAGGAAGAAGTAAATGTTAAAAGTATATTGAACTAAATGTAAGTATATAGGATAACGATTTATAAATTTTTATATATCAAGAACAGTTTTGGAGGAAAGATGAATGGCAATATGGGAAAAGTTTTCATGTGACGTGTTTTCTCCCTTAGGGCCCAAACACATCACATAAAAACTTTTTCCAGATAAGTATATAAAAAAGTAAATAGATGAAGGGAAGATGAAAAAAAAAATTTTTTTTTTCTTTTTTATGATAGGAAAAAAATGAAAGAGAAAAAAAAAATTATTTGCTGTCATAAAAAAGGTGATAAAATTCCAATTTTTTTTTCTCATTCATTCGCTTATTCATTTCTAAAAAGTTTTTTTCCGTGCTTTCATTCAAACAACAACAACAATAAGTAGAATAAAAAAAAATGAGACACACAATCGTGGGGCCGAAGTGGGACAGAATTAAGGTTATTGGCAAGTGTCATGTCCAAAACTGAGAAGTAAAAATAATAAGTGATTTTTTTTTCCTTATTCATTCACTCATTCCTTCATTTGATATTTTTTTTGTTCTTTCATTCAAACAACAGCAAAAATGAAAAGTAGATTAAACAAAATGAGACACACAATCATGGGGCAAAGTGGGACATAGTTAAGGTAATAGGCAAGCAAGGAGGTAATATTTGACAATTGTTATAAAAGTTAAAACTATTATGAGTTTTTGGGTTGATTACTGAGGCTAAAAAACGAGGAAGAGCTAATGTTCGTTATGAACTAAAAAACCTCTAATTAATTTCCTTCTTGTACATAACAACATATATATATATATATATATATATATACATATATATATATATATACATATATATATATTTGAAAGAATTAGTATGACATTTGACAAACATTTTTGTGACACGTTTCATTTATTAAGATGTGTCACAAAAACTATTTCAAATTTGTCATACTTTTTTCTCAAATACTGTTAATTGATATATAAATTAATATAAAATTCTATATTGTTATGTCTTATTGTTGAAGCTTAAATAAGCATGGAATAATACAACACAAAATGTACGTTAACAAAATGTATTGAAACAAAGAATAGGTACACAATATTTACAGTTAGTTTGGTATATTCTTGGGAAGACTGTTCCTGCATAATGGGTTGACTAAATGCAGTCGGGCAGAGTCTCTGGATTCAATTTCTTAATCTCTACTATCTTCCCGTCTTCGGTACCAACCCATATTTATATGGTCGGTAGTCCGCTTATGTAAATTAGGTGTATCATACACAACACTTATATATATATATATATATATATATATATATATATATATACACACATATATATACACGCACACACCTAGATATACATACACACACACATACATGTACAAACTTGCACATTGTATACAAGTGTAAATCAAAAATCATATGCACTTTCGCCCTAACATATTTAGACAAGAGTGTGGATAATTTTTTACTTTCCTGCAAATACAGAACACACATATAAACACGTGTGCACACACACACACGCACACACTTATATATATTTATATATATATATATATATAAATACTCACATGCACATTTGTACATAAATATATAACTATATACTTATGCATTTATTAACCAATTTATATATATTACTATAATATAAACTTAATAAAAATAGGAAGACACATGGCATAAATATATATATATATATATATATATATATATATATATATTCCTGCACACACTCACAGACATATGTGTGTATATATATATATATATATATATATATGTGTGTGTATATATATGTATATGCAAATGTATATATGTGTGTGCATGAGGATATATATATTTTATGCATACATATATATATATATATATATATATGTGTGTGTGTGTGTGTGTATAAGTATATATATGTGTGTGTGCACATATATATTTCATTTCATGGTGTCTTAATATTTAGATTTTCTGTTTCTTACCTCTCCTTCTCTGTATCTTTAGTAAGCAAATAATCATATTACAATGTAAAGACATTATACTTGCATATATATATATATATATATATATATATATATATATATATATATATATATATATATATATGTATGTATTTAAAAGTATATAAGAATACCTGTTTAGTTTTGGTAGGTTGTTATTTACTAGCAAAATCATATGAATAAGCAAAATTTGAAAAGCAAAATCATATGAATAAGTAAAATATTATAGGCAAAATATGAAAAGCAAAATCATATGTATAAGCAAAATAGGAAAAGCAAAATCATATGAAGAAGCAAAATATTATAAGCAAAGTCATATGAATAAAGGAAAAATGAAACAAAGAAAAATTACTTCTTCCTGTCAGTAAGATTTTTCCCTTATGTGTGGAAATTATTAAAGATCCATGACTTTGAATAAAAAAAAATGAAATAATTGAAAATAATAAAAAACAAAATCGAAAAGCTTATGACATTTGTGATC